GAGCACGGCGCTGTGAGGCTGTCCGCAGCCTCTGCAGCGCGGGTTCGATCCCAGCCAACCGGTGAGGGTCCCACATGGTGAAGCAGACCTCTCCTGTCATGCCCGCTGCTCCCCTCAGCAGTGTATTTCTTCAGTCTGCCTGTTCTGTTCCCCACTTTGTCTCTGGTGAATCCTCTCACCCTCCTGTGCCTCTAGCCTGTACCTCGGTTCTTGTATAAATAAATAAATCTTTTAAAAAAAAATGAGCTATTGTGAAATCTCTCAGGATATATTGCTGTATATATCCTATATATATGCTATATATACCACCATTCAATTTAGAATAGTGGTAAAATTCATTGCAACATAAAAATTCCCTAAACTCAATATCCTTCTCATACTCTCATTACTCTGTAGTAGTTGCTGAATGTTTTGGAGTTAATATTCTACGCTGTCATTTGTCTTTTCTTTACAAAAATGTGACGCTAGCCACTGACTCACTCATTTCTCTAAAGGAGTAAATTAATCTTTTGTTCATACACCATTTTTTTTTTTTTTTTTTAAGATTTATTTATTTATTTATTTATTTTATACAAGCACTGGGTACAGTCAGAAGCGCGGGAGGGTGAGAGAATTCACCAGAGCCAGAGCGGGGAGCAGAGCAGGCAGAAGGACCGAAGTACACTGCTGAGGGGAGCAGCGGGCGGCAGGAGAGGTCTGCGCGCCATGTGGGACCCTCCTCCAGTGGCCGGGGAGCAGCCGGGGATAGAACTGGCGCTGCAGAGGCTGCGGGCAGCTTTGCACCCCAGTGCTCAACCACTGCGCCACCGGGGAGGCCCCACCATTTTTCTTATCAGAAAGGTTAGCCAAAAAAGAAAAAGAAAAATCAGTTACTCTCCTTCCCCAAACATACTGCATTCGTGCTGAGTGCCTTTGTGGATTTCTACCACTCTACAAAATATTTTTGTTGCAGAACACAGTCTCTTGTTTCAAATGTCCGGAAGCACGCTTTTAATAATTTACTAGAATGTTTATGTAAACTACATTTTGTTACAAAAAAAAATTTTCCCCACTGCCATTCCTTATATTTTCCTTGTCCCTTTCCCTCCTCCTGTTAACAGTCATAATGCTCAATGTAATGTGAAAAAGAGACACTAGATTGGCTTGACAGTTTCATGAAAGAATCTTTATTGACCAGCCTGGTAGTATAGCATTTTTTAAGCGTACTGCTAATTATCTCAAATTGTATTGCATTATTAATACATATGTATTTATTTGCCCAGTTTCAAGAAGTGAGGTGATCTGTTCTTAGTCTTGTCTTAACCATACGCTAATAAATACACAGTCACACACCACACATAAGATAGTGGTCTCCCAACACAGCCTGGGTGTAGTAGGCTGTCCATCTAGGATCCATTCTGTTTCCACTGTTTCCAGAATTTATTTAGCATCCTCTCGGAGCTTACATGTACCTGATGTTCTTAATTTACATCATTATTCAGTCCGTTTTTGTTTTTGCAGTCCCCAAAAGCATTCATTTATGTAATGACTTAGGAAATCTCCTTTCTTCAAACAACTCTAGAAACCCACATACTGGCTCTAATAATTGATCCTGGATCCTATACTGCTGACTGGACTACTCCTGGGTTATTTGAAAACTTAAATTATACACCGTAGCATCTCATCTCTCCCTACCTGAAAATATAAACAATAAGGAACAAAAGCTTTCAAAGTCCAAAACTTAACATACCCACTTTAAATGCTAGTTGGTAGACTGCTGTCTCATTATTTCAAGATGCAAACAAAAAGAATCCTGTCTTTTTATATGAATTAGTGAATTTCTCATCTGAAACAAATTGCCCTCAAGTAATTTTTACCTACACTTTGAGAAAGGATTGAATTTTCTAATGAAAGCCTGTTTGTACCATTGCCAAAGTGGTTGATAATGTGCTCAAGCTAAAAGATACATAAATTAAAACTGTCCCATACCCTGAATAAAGTGATAATAGAATACCTGCTGTTTCCATGGGATACCCTATCCATTGGAAATATAGCATTTTGGTTTTGTTGTCTTTTTTTTTTTAATGACTACTATCTAGTTGGAGAGGGAAGAGGGAAGAAGGATGCAAATAATATTCCTAATTTGAATGTTCCCTAGTAGCTGTAGAGTTCTTATGTTAGCTAATGCTTTTGTTCTTTTATTATAGGCATAAGTATTTTGCAAAAACTTGTGAAGATGTTGTATACGTTAAATGTCATAACAAGACAGACAAAAAAGTAGCCCTAGGGTATTGTAGCATAAGCAATAAGCGTAAGATAGCCTTTAATCGTGCAGTGGCGTGAAACTCATCAATGACAGCAAAGTTAAAAAAAAAATGTGCCTTGGAATAAAGTTTTTTTTTTTAAAGATTTATTTTATTTATGTGTGCAAGAGCTGGGGTATAGGCCAGAGTTGGGGCCTGGTGGTCGTGAGAGGATTCACCAGAGACAGAGTGGGGAACAGAACAGGCAGATTGACTGAAACACACTGCTGAGGGGAGCAGCAGGCAAGACAGGAGAGGTCTGCTGCGCCATGTGGGTATCTCCCTGGCCGGGGATCAAGCTAACACTGCAGTGGCTGCGGTTAGCTTCATAGTACTGAGGCTTAACCCCTTGCACCACAAGGGAAGCTCTGGAATAGTCTTAAAAATTGTTGTGTATGTAGTATACAAAGGAGATTTCTGATGAATTTTTATTAATCTTCATTTTCATTAAAATAGTGGCTTAGGGGAAAAAAGGAAAGTATGGATTTCTGTACTTACCTATATTCACCATTGTTGGCCTCTAAGATCAGGTTTTTTGCTTCACATGCAGTTTTCTTCCAGGCCGAAAGTATGAACAGCAGTTAAGATATAAGATAGATAAACTGTTTTGTTGTTGATGTCACTGTTACATTTGATGTCTTTCTAAAATTTTTCAGTTTAAAAGAGCACAGTTGTAAGTATATAATTCAATGAATTATCATGTGATAATAATCAGTTACTTGGTAATTTTTATAGTTATTTTATATTCTTTGAAAATGTAGGGTAAACAATTTAGACAAAATTTAAACAAATAATTTCATAAAAGAAGTATCTGGTATTTGAAAAGTTTTTGTCAATAGGTATCTCATAATCACCATGGAAATACAGATGTTGGGTCAGTTTCAAAATGTTATCCATGACTTCTGGTATTAATTTTTTAAAATTGTACAAGTAATCCTGAATCCATGCTCATGGAGGAGAAAATACTAAAATTCTATAATATTTAGTATACAAGGTGAAAGTCATCAACCTGAATGATCCTACCAAATCTTCCTCTTTTCAGAACTACCACTTTAAGTTTAGTGAGTTACTTCCTACTCCTTTTCTCATCTATGTACCTCCATGGCAATTTGTTTTGCTTGTTTTTAACATAAGTGTAGTTCTGTTTTACGGTATAGCCTATGCTGTACCATTTCACTCTGGGAAAGCTTTTTATGTGATTACATTATAGGTAGACTTCATTTTTTTATTCTAATTTCTTTAATGATAGAGACTTCTGTTCAGTTTTTTTGTTACTATTTAAAAAAGTTGTACAGTGAATACCCTTGATTATATCTTTGTGAACTAGTTAATAATAATTTCTTATTGACTAGTAGTTTCTCTGTATTCTAGGTGTTAGGATGTTGATTATATATTGTGGATATTTTCTTCTAGTGCACTGATCTTGGTTGCTTTTCTCATGTCAATGTTTTAAATAATTATTCAAGTCTGATGGTCTTTTCCTTTGCTACCTGTGTTTTGTGAATTATATTTCTAAATTATATTCATTCCTACAGGGAAATTTTAATTTCCATTTTTAACTATCACTTGTAACACATTTTATTTTTATAGAACCCCATAGATGATGGCAAGAAATACTAGTATCAGATGTGTTTTAATGACATGTAATAATCACATAAGGATCAGTGACAATTTTGCTTATCAAATTCAGTGTTATAAAATAAATAATAAATTCTGAAACAGCATTGGGGTTTTGTGTTATTCATGGAGTCACTATGGTAGTGAAAAGTAACTTACATGGCACTGTATGATAAAAGAATTGCACAAATACGAAGTAATCTCTTTCGTTCTAAGTTCTTTAGACAAGCTTGCTCCCCCCAGTTAACTAAAATTTCCCTAACCTCCTCCCTAATGTAGCTGCTCCTGCTAGGAATTTCTATACCCTTCCTTTTTGCTGCCATCCAATACCGTATTACCCAACAGATTATAATAGGCTCTTAGCAAAGCAGGGTAAAAAGATTAGCCTTAACAGAATTTTGCAATTAAAAAATTTTTTAATTGTTTTGTGTGTTATTGTGCATATGTGTAGTGTCACATACTACACATAGAGTGAGGAGTCAACACTATAATTTGGGGTCTCTAATTTGGCTCTGTGGCCACTTATCTCACCTTTCTATCATCTTGATACCCCACAGGTTGGACTCTTGCAACTTGAGCTGACTTTGTCCTACCACCAGTAATACTTGTGGAAATAGTTTATAATTTTTTGCTTCTTACCTCTTACAGGTGGGAATACCCTCAAAGGATGTACCATGAAACCAGTATCCCAGAGCCCCTCTCATCAGCTTACTTCTCTTAGCTGAATGTCTTAATTGGTATTGGTATAGTTTTAAAAACAAAACTTTATTGCTGCCCCCGGATGTCCCTGCCCCCTCCTTATTACTAGGGGATGTTCATGAAAGAGGATGAATCCCTTGTTTATAGATGGAGTAATATCCTATTGGGGGGAAAATAGCAAGGGTTAAGAAGTATTTTTTCTTTTTTGAAGGGAATAAACTTTACAGTTCAAATTTGGGCAATTTTGACAATAATTCAGCTACATTATATTCAAATTAGATTTCTGAGTGCATTTGCTAACATAACCACCACAAATACCTATTTATAACTTAAAATTTGCCTTTAAAGTCAGAAAAGCACAAAGCACTGTAGTGCTTGTAACACTCTTCCATGTTATTGTAGGTAACTAAATGACCATGGAATCTGGAGCAGAAAACCAGCAGAGTGGAGATGCAGCTGTAACAGAAGCTGAAAACCAGCAAATGACAGTTCAAGCCCAGCCACAGATTGCCACATTAGCCCAGGTATAAAATACATGGAGAGATTCCAAGTTTTGTCTCTTCCAAGAGGAATATATTTAGATGAGAACTTAGTTTTTATTACAGAGAGAAACATAGAATGACCAGAGACATTCTTAGAATATAAAATTTCATATTTTGAAATATCCTAATTTTCAAAATGATAGTCTTAGTAACATTACAGAAAAATGTATTGTTAACCACTGATGCAATGTCTATAGTGTCACAATTCAGAAATAATTACATTTTAACTGACAAGTAGGTTAATTTTCTCTCAAACAAGGGAAGAAAACCTTGACTACAGTGATTGCTTTTTTTACATATCATTTAGGTTATGGAAATACAGATAATCTAAAAAGTTAAGCTTAAATTACAAAATAGGATAAGCAAATAGATTGACAGTTTCGGGGATGATAATTTTTGCTTCCTATAAAAAATAATTCATGATTCTTTCATTTTGTCTTAAACATTCTATCTTTAAGGTTGTAGTCTCATCCTTATTTTTTGCCATGTATTTTTCCTCAAATATTTCATATTTTATTAACAACTATTTACATATATGTGGGAAAGATGATTAATATAAAAATCAAACAGCAAATAAACCAATGAAGTGAAAGAATTGATATTACCACTTTTAGGAGGAAATAATCCTAGCAGAGGTTCTGAGATGTCTAGCTTAAGCTTCAAAATCTTCTGGGGGTAGTCACTGGCAAGAATAGATCTTGAAAGTAGAGGGATAACTTCATATGATTGCTATGCAGAGCTAAAGTATAGACCAAAATACTGGACCTCCAGCAGGAATATAGAGCACAAAGGCCCATCTCCAGCCCTCAGGAAGTAAGTCAAAACACATTTGGGGTTGAGATAAATGTAATCTGAGGAGGCAGGTGCTGGAATAAAGGGGAGACCTATATATGGTCAAGACAAATATGTGCAGATAAGAAAGAATCCGAGCTCATCCAAGCTTTGACCTCTCTGGTAAAGAGAAGATACACAGGTAGCAGACATCTGAGCAATGAAACTGTCCATATACCTTAGATCACACCGTTCTCTCGGGTCTAGTTTTTCTCTAAGTCTGCTGTATTAATGTCATCCTGGAAATTCCCTCAACTTCCTTTTGTGAAATTTGTATTCTTAATAGAATAAAGCATGTTTGCAATGATTCCTTCAGAAAGGAAATTTGGGTATTCATTTTGTTTCAAATTTTGAAGGTATTGATCCACTTCTAGTGTTGCTCTTTGAAAAGACTAAATCCATTTCTTATTTTGTATCTCCTGTATGTTGTAGGAATTTTTCCTTTGTTCACTGGTTTGCTATTTTGTTAAAAGAACCTTGGTTTGGATCAATTTTCATCTGTTATGCTATGTAGTCATTAGGCCCTTCAATATTGAAAACTCTGGTCTTCCACTTTGGGCAATTAATTTGTTTGGTTGATTATTTTTTTCTTTCTATAGGACCCTTGTGATCCAAATAGTATACCTCTAGAACTAATTCTCATTTTTTTCTCTGTTTTTATTTTATTCTGTTTATATTTTGCTCTTCTGTCTGGGAGGTTTCCTCAAACTTCATATTCTAACCCATCTGTTGAATTTTTTATTATTGTTACCATCTTTAAGAGCTGCTTTTGTTCTCTGAACAGTCCTTTCATGTTCTAATAGCATCCTGTTTATATTTCATAAAGGCAGTATTTTATCTTTGAGAATATTGATTAGGTTTTGTTTTGTTTTCAGTTTTCTTCCTTCTTGTATTGCTTTTCCCCCTCCATATGTATTGTCTCCATCTTTCATATTAGAGGTTTTCCTCAAAGTATTTGATAATTTATGATTTTCTGGCTTAAAAGTAGAGGACCATAAAGATGTACTGGAATCTCTGTGGATACATTTGGGACTTAACATCTATGAGTTGTGATCTTCACGTAGGACGACTGTAGGTCCCAATGTCAGTATCACTTAAGTCTTGCCTCTTCAGCTTGAAGTTAGTCAGGTTCCCCAGAGAAATATTTACTAATCTGCTTATAGAGAGAAAATGCAGGAAAACTAGAGTTCACTACCTTACTTACAGCAGTGCCTGCGCAAAAAAATAAATCTTTGTTTTTCTGTCAGTGGGGTAGATTAGTTGCTCTTCCACAGAGAGGTGGGAAAGGGATCCATTTGCTTCACGATGAATTTCAGTAGCTAAAAGTCCTTCAATGCCTTTCCCAGTCCTCTCAGGATAAAATATAAGTTCTTTAATGTGACATATATGAAGTTTTTCATGACTAGTCCATCTAGTACCTGCCTGCTGTGTTATTTCATCTCCCCACTTTCTCATAGTGTAACACACAAGCCCTCTAATAGTTGAATTGCTAGTCATCTCACTCTGCCTTACATGGGTAGATCATTGTTTCTCTGTTGCTGCCCTGTCTGCCTGAAATTCTGTTCTTCTACCCTGCAAGTCATAATAACATGCCTATCTAGTGTTCTTTATTTCAAATTTACATTCTTCCCTGGTAACTTCCTCTCCTCTTTACAATGAATTAAGTAGTTCTCCTCAATCCATACTTATCTCAGCAACCCTCGTTAATTCCCTGATTTTGTGTTTCTTTTCCCCATTCTTTGAGACACATATCCCAATAATTTCCTTTAGGGCAAGGGCCTGTGTCTTTCTCTCTCTCTCTCTTTTTTTTTTTTTAAGTTTCAGTTCTGACATTGTTCCCAGTACATAGGTCCTCACTGGCAGTTTCACTGAGTAAATAAACTTCCTATCCTCAGTGTGGTAAAGCACATGCCACCTGATAGGCATGTTTAACTTAAGAACCCTTTTACCTGAATATTCCTTAAAATTGCCTTCTTTGTGTCTCAGAAAAAATTGTTTTTTTCTTAGATTCTCTCAACTCTTCTTTATTCCTTCAAGAGGAAAATCTTTAAAATATAAATGGTTAGCAGTTTAACACCTGTCAATACTTTCACATTAATGAAAGGCATACTTGTAATTAGCTTAATGGAGAAAATGATGTTTTATGTTGTAAGATATATATTTGTTCTACACTTACTAGGTCAGTTTTTCCGAGGATTGACAACAATTAGATTTTAGAACATAGTTTATTTAACACATGATATTGGGAAGAAATGTTAACATATCTCTTGAACTTGGGCAAGTTATTTAGTATCTTTGAGCACTTGTTATTTGTCTCTAAAGTGGAGGTAATTCTTATTACTTAGTTTTCATTTCTTCAAAGAGCAAATAAGAAATTGGATATGAAAAGCAGGTGAAAAAAATGTAAAACTTCATACAAATAAAGTGGTATTTAGTGTTCAGAAAAAGTCTGTTACATAGTTTCATGATACAGTAAAATAGTTTTTTGGGTTTTGTCATTAGGAGTTAAAAAGTGGGAGAAGTTGAAAAGTTGTTGTCCTTTTAAAAATGAATATTAATCCATTTCTTTCACATCATTGAAATATTTATCTTAGTAGAAAGGACATCTTTTTGCTGCTTAAAAAGTTGCTTCATATTGAACATGAGTACTTCCAAGGAGGTATCTGTAATGGTAATTTTTTTCCATGTTCAACACCATAGGTATCTATGCCAGCAGCTCATGCAACATCATCTGCTCCCACCGTAACTTTAGTACAGCTGCCCAATGGGCAGACAGTTCAAGTCCATGGAGTTATTCAGGCGGCCCAGCCATCAGTTATTCAGTCTCCACAAGTCCAGACAGTTCAGGTATGTGTATAAAAAGTTCTGCATCTACTTTTATAACTGTTGTTTATAGCCATATCTATCTCCTTTCGTTAGTTATGAAAATAGGAACATAACTAGTTCAGATTTTATTTTATTTACAGTAATAGAATATGCTACATCTGTACAGTCACCTATGTGTAGGAACATATATTCACAAGAAGATATATACAAGAAAAAAAAGACTGCTAAGCAACAAAAGAAAAACGATTAGGAAAAATTAAAAAGTATATGGGATAAAGTGGAAATGTTTGGAAGAGACTAAGATTGATGTATCTCTCAGTTAAGGAAAACGGAGATAAAAAAATTGCAACTGGAAAAAATTAAACCTTATCAAAACCTTAGTTAAGGTTAATAACCTTACCTAAGATATTATTCAGACTTTGAAAACACATAAAGCATTTGTAAAACTGCCTATGTTTAGAGTTCTAAGTTAGAGTATATAACTGAAATAATTATTCTGAAAGGGTCAGGAATTGTTCTACACGTTACCTTATTCTTCAGAGAGGGGGTTCCTTTGGTTAGCTCCAAAGGGAATAAAAGCATTTATAGACCTGAAGGTGACGACATAACTGTAGGGAACCTAGAGCAGTATACATCTTCACATTGAACTTATTTTTTAAAAAAATTTTGAAAAGACTTGAACGTTCATCCAAGTAGGCCATAACCCCAGCCTCCCATTTCATATTTTTTGCTTCACAGTCTTCCTGTAAGGACTTAAAAAGACTTTTCTCCGGAACGCAGGTGAGTCCTAGGTCCTAGATTTGGAGAGAACTATTTTTAGAAAGGAAGGTGAGAAATAATTCTTTATGTCTTTGTCTTTCTCTATAAACATGAAATTGAAGGTTTAAATAAAAATATTAATCTAGATCTAGGCCAAACTTGATACCTATCCCATCCTTAATCTGTTGCTAAATTTCCCTATATATCCATTCTCCCCTCCTCTAAATAGTAGCCCAGCATTGCTGGAACACTTTCAAAGAAAGGAAGCTCCATCTCCGAGGTAACCAATATATAATTAGGCGTAATTGCTAAAATATTCTTCTCTATGGTGGACGGAATATATCTTTCTGAAGTTTTTATTTTGTGGCCCCAGTTCTATCTTGAAAACTAGATAAACAAGTTTAACTAGTTTTCTGTTGGACTGCTTCCTCTTCCTCATCTCCCACACCCTTGCCATTTAAAAAAAAAAAAGTCGAGACAAAACATACACCTGTTTTTCTTCAACCATTTATTACATGGTGTAGCTTTCACTTTTCTTCACTTTCCTCGTCTTTTTTGTGAGAGCTATTGTGTTTTCCTTGAACGTGGTAGCCAGACTCATTGATACTTGTAGAGGGGAGAAGTATCTTCTTTGTCCTAGAAACATTCTATTAATTGTCATCAAATAATATATTAGATTTTGTTAGCCATATCATACTATTGAGTCAATGAGCTGCTGTTACCCACCTTTACTTTATTCTCTTGTGCTTTTGGTTTGCTTGGACACTTAAGGGTGGGGGGAGAGAAAATGTTAACATGTAAAATCAAGTTGTATGAATTCCTGTACAGAAAGATCATGGGAATGGAATTTGTTACCAAGTAGGAGACAAGTCTTAAATTAGATAAAGACCTAATTCATATTCTGTGAATTACACTTAGTAATAATCTTCTGCCTTTTGCCTCAGTTTTTATTTCATTGAATTGTACTTTACCATACTCTATACTATGACATTACTAATTCCCGGTTTCTGCTTGATAATAGCGGGAAGAACTTGACCATCTAGTCAAGAGACCGAAATTCCAGACCCAGTTTGGGTATTAAGTCCAATAACTTTTATTTTTTATTTTTTAACTCATAGTAGGAGGTCTTTATGTAAAAAACACAAATTATAGCCACAAAATTAAGATTATAATTTTGTGTTCTAAAATGTGAAATTTAATTATTGACGCTATTCTTATTTTTAATCTTTACTTGGTAGCAAAATAATTTGGATTGGGGGTTATATCGCCATTAACTTTATAGAAATACATGTTCATCTTTTCAAGAACACATTTTTCCACTGAGGTGAGCTATGCTTATCATTGAAAGCCTAAATTCTACAAATAGTGACACCAGTATAGTATTTCATTTTTAAAAGGGTCTAAACCATGGAGAATCGTTACTTGAATGATTGTTTCTTCTTGTGAACAGTGATTAATGTTAATAACTAGAAGGTAGTTTGTATCACAAGAAGTGATCAAAGAGAGAAATGGTACCTCTTACTTTTAGATGGGAAAATAATGATATTCTAAAATAACATTTTAAAAATATATAGCTATATTTCTCTTGATAAGAGAATAAGCCATTAGGACTTTTGTCTATATTTTTAAATGTAAGAATATTAAAAACTAAGCTGCAAATCTAAGAATATTAAAATCTGAGCTGTACTAATATTTCATATATGGCTTACCATTGGTGCCCAACTTTATCCTTTTATATATATATATATATATATATATATATATCTCTGTCATGTCTCACTGAGAATCTCCATAAAAATAATGGGACTCGCATAATATATAGAAGCTAATAGTAACAACTCAATTTTCATGTTCGTTTTGAAGTATTTTGACATAGTACAGTTTAAATCCGTGAGACAGAGGATTCACGGATCATGTTAGCTTAAATTACTACATTCATTTCTTCAATGAATTTTTATTGATCACATGCTATATGCCAGTCACTGTTCTAGGTGCTATGAAAGACAGCAGTGAACAAATAATACTTCTCTATTCTCATGAAGATCACATTTGAGCGAAGAGAGACAATGAAAAAATAAAATATGTCAGGTGAGGATAAGTGCTGGGAAGATGATTAAAGCAGGGGAAGGGCAGAGGAGGATGTGGAGGGAAGGGTGTTGTGCGTTGTTGTGTAGGGTAGTCAGAGAAGACTGAGCAGAGACCAGAGGCAGAGGAGGAGGCTAAACCATACAAATAATAAAAAAAGGAATCACAGATTGAGACGTGAAAGTGTGCTTTACGTATCAAAGAAAAACTAGAAAATGTGTATCAAACAAAAGGATCAAGGGTGAGAGTGGATATGAATTTTTTGATAAAATCTTCACAATGTAATGTGATGGAACCAACAGTAAAATTCTTTTGTGCAACGCAGAGATTCAGAATCATATAGCAAAACATTTTTTAAAGTTGTCTAAGTTAAGGATGAGTTGTTAGTTTTTTACCTAAGATGGTTGTTCTAAAGTTTCTGACATTTAATGATGACAAGCAAGGGCTATATTACCTAACATATTTTTGAAAAATTGTCTTTTCTGGGAGAAAGTGAGATTTTAACAATGCATTCAAGAGTAATGCTTTTTAAAAGAAACTTGTGTTTTGGAAAGAGAATTTTGACAATAGAAACTTAGAAATATTACCATACTTTTCATGTAAATATGTTACCTAAAAACTCAAATCTGTATACTTTTAAAATCCTAGAAATAGAACTTTCTAAACTATTCAGAAGTCTTCTAAAGAATTTGTTGAACTTATTTATTAAAATATGAACCTGTAACACCTATTAGTGTACAATAAGTCACTAAGGGAGATGAAAACATTGGATAAATCTCAGAACTTTTCATAATTAATAGATGAAAATGGAACTGATTGATTTATTTAGCAAGCCCAGCTAAAAGTGCATTTTTGTGTTCACTTATGAGGTTTATTTGTTTGTTTTACAATAGCAGGTGTTAAATCACATTTCAAAAAGTCTGAGTTTAGAGTTTATCTTTACAAATATTTCAATGTGTGCTTATCTTTTTAAATTTTTGTTTTATGAATAGCACACTTAAAATGTACAAATGGAAATGTATGCTTATGTAAAATTTTTTATAAGTGAGATCTACAGATCAAAGAGTTTGGAGATCTTTTTCTTTTAGGCTTTTAACTAAAAAAAACTATCTAAACCATAAATCTATATCTAAACCATAAATCTGAACTCTACCTAGAGAAAGTACTTATTCTAGGGGACCAGTAAGAGTTTGAGAAAACATGTAGTAATACCTTTGCTTTGATTTGCTTCTAGTCACTGTATATTTTATTTCTGAAATTTCAAACCTATCGAAATAGGGGCTTTTTTTCCTCCTTCAGAAACAGGTGGTATAAATTTTTAACAAAGTTGAGAAATGTAGACCTAAAATTTTACATCTACAAGTGATAACTTGGCTTTTTGAAAATTTAATTGACCAAGGTTCAACCTGTTTAAGGAACTCAGGAAGAGAGCAGTACGTTGTTAGAGCGGTGAAAGGAGGTGAGGACCAGAGGAAGGGGATCTGTCGTTGGAATGTAATGACACTCTGGTATTTAAAATTGGGGTATAGCTTTTCATGTTTATTTTAATAATCTGTTAGATATATATTAAACTATTAAAATGTTATGTATAAAAAGAATTCTAACCCACAGAAATGTGGGTCCATTGGTTTTCTGGGGGAGCCTTGGGATATTCTTGTTTGTTTTTGGCAAATAGTCCATAGGATTACTTTCATAGATAGTCCATAGGAATAAGCTTCATAGTTCTTATAACTCTTAGGATAGTATTCCCAAAGAGAAATGTTAACATTTGTTACATAATATTGAATAGTACTGAATTTCCTTCACATTAAAAACTGTAATCACTGTATAATAATAATTAATTCTTTCTGTCTGAACTCGTAAATCTTTTAGATTGGAGAAAGAGGAGCTTTTGTTTTCCTACCAAGAGCAATAGATTCACTGAATCTGGGGGGATAAAACCATGAAAGGCCATATATTTTAAAAAGCAACATTAATTTATTTCATTACAAAGCTGTCCAGTGTGTAATTGAAAGCTGTTTTAGTGAGTTTCAACTTGAGGGAGTGTGCCTAAGTTCCTTATGTCCTTATAAGAGGATTGTTAAGGGTGAGGGTCAAATAAAGATAGAAGAGAAATAGAATGGAGGAAGTGAGATCTTGTGACGACTACAGTAATCTCTGTCACAGTACTATCCACTTCGAGCTCTGTCTTTATTACTTGAAATTCTGAGCCTCTGCTAAGACCTTTTCACAGTTCTGTTCTGCTCCATTTCTGTGAGAAAGTCTGTGTAGACTACTGAGTGGGCAAGTTAGAGCAGCTGGTGGGAAATTCTGTGTACTTCTTTGGCAGTAACTATAGAGCTCTGTAGAGAATCACAGACTAAATTCAACCTTGTCCATCTTTTTATCTGTCATTTCTGGATTCATTGAATGTTGCCTGTTAATTTTTAGGTCTTTAAGACTACTTTCATACACTTAAATTGTTTGGAAGATGCACCTTACTTTGTTGTTAGGTATACTTATTTTGTGAAGCATTACCAGATTTACCTAATTTCATTTCAAAGTGTATGTATAGCAATACCCTGTCAAAATAAGTGCTCGTTCTCCAGAACCTTAGACACAGGCCACATCAGAGTACCTTTAGGATTTGTCAGGTGTTTCTGAATTTTTTTCTTACTGCTATCGTCATGAATTTTGATATGGAACTAACCTTTATGGATCCTTTTGCTTTGCTTAAATATAATTCTCACCCTGACAGCATTGCATGTGCCTAGTTCAGGAAAGAGCAGGAGGATCCTGCCAATTACACTAGAGAAACTTCGTAGTATAAATTTGGCAGACAAACTTCCTTAGGTGAGTGAACGTCTAAAGTGATCTAAAAAAAATCTCTGAGTTGCTGCTTCTGACAAAACTAGTTTGAGATTGGAACCAACAAGAGTTGATGCTGATGCGGATGTCTAAAACTGAGATGCCAAGTGTTGACAGTGACTCTACTATATTTCTTCCTAGTTTTGAGACTTGGGTCAGTTACTTACCCTCTCTGTGCCTCAGTTCTTCCATCTGTAAAGCGGTTCTATAATCATACTATTGTAGCACCTTATATACGCATCTAGCGCTTTAAAACCATACAAGCGTTGAGTAATATATGTGTGTGCTTTAACGTAGCATCTGGCACATAGTAAGTTCTCAGTAAATGCTAGTTGCTATTTTTATTATCTAGTGTAAAATACTTAATTACTTTTGAGTCCAGGGTCCCTTCCAGAAATGCATAGTTCTTTACCTTGAATTTTTGTTTAATAAAAAGTGTATACTTTTATTACAACTTTGAAATATGTCCGTAGGTAGCGGAGGGCTTCTTCCTAACTTGCTAGAAACAATCATCTGTAAGTTGGTAAGGGATCTTATTTGTACAATGTAAATACAATCACAAGTATTTGCACAGTAGTTATTGAAAAGTATTTTGTGTAACTCATATAGACTTATGATCAAATAGTCATTTATTCTTTCTTTCATGTTAGAAAACTTAGTTGGTAGTTTTGTTCTGACAACTATAAGAAAATAACTGGAAAGTAATATTAATCCAAGAGTCGATTACATGAAGTTCTAAAAGAGATTAAGCTGGATTTGGGTATCATAAAGTTTGGTTTTGACCAAAAAAAAAGTTAGGTTCTCTGACTCTTATTGGATAAGTAAAAGAGGACAGTGATTTGTTATGTTCGTCTACCCTAAAAATACTTTTTTTCCTAATGAAGCATGTATAAAGTATCTAGATGTTCTTTTGTATTTTACTTTTAATACATAAAAATCTCATAGGAAGGAAATTTGATTGTCTAGATAAAGTTCTTGTTTGTTTTCAGATTTCAACTATTGCAGAAAGTGAAGATTCACAGGAGTCAGTGGACAGTGTAACTGATTCCCAAAAACGACGAGAAATTCTTTCAAGGAGGCCTTCCTACAGGTATGGAATTTAATAGCTAAAAAAATTTAGAATTACAGTATGCTGCATGCCTTAAGAGGTTGCAGGTGAAGAGATGTTAGAAGACAAGTTAGCCACTTGATTTAGTAACACGTAGATTACTTCTCTCCACCTTGATTTCTTTCCAGTCTTGAAGCTTATCGAGTACAAAAGTACTTCTTACTCCAAACAGTCCTGCATAAACACTGATAATATTTTCTTCCTGCTTCTCTTTTTTTTTTAATAGACTGTACTGGCTGCTGCGCTTCTGTTAAAAAATTAGCAACACATTTGATAAGGTTATAGTATTTTCTATTTATACATCAGTTCTATTTATCTACTTAGCAACACATTTGCCAGTCATTTTTTTGCCATAATACTTAGCAGATAATTGTTAATTTTAATAGTTGTTTTATGGTCATGTGGATATTCCCTTAATGTAGTTTTTGTGTTTAGATATACAAATTGTTCAGTTCATGCCTTGCCTCTAAAATAGGCCAGAAGTATGTTTTTATATGAGGAAATTGGCTCCACATTAAATGTCTCCAGAAAGAACAGTTCTACAAATCTGTGTAAACTACCTTTAGAATTTAATAATTATGGGGCATGTAATACTCTGTTGTTTTTTTTTTTTTAAAGATTTATTTATTTATGCATACAAGAGTTGGGGCACAGGCCAAAGGTGGTGGGGGGTGAGAGGATTCACCAGAGACAGAGTGGGAAACAGAACAGGCAGACTGACCGAAGCACGCTGCTGAGGGGAGCAGTGGACGAGTCAGGAGAGGTCCACTGCGCCATGTGGGTTGCTCCCCGGCCGCCCAGGGATTGAACTTGTGCTGCAGAGGCTGCAGATTGCCTCATAGATTGCGTCTCAACCCCTTGCGCCACCAGGGAGGCCCAGTATTCTGTTATTAGCCTAAATTATTTCTGTTGATATTTTTATTTTTCAGAGGGATGATTATTTTTACCCCTGCATATTTGTCAACTAAGCTAACCCTTTTCTCTGTCCTCACAGTTAAATTAAAATCCTAAATGATAGAGAAACAGCAGAAAGGAACTGACAGAACAAACCCTAGAAATTGGACTGCAGAAAGGGGGCAGGAAAGAGGCTGACAGTAAGGGGAGTTGTGAGCCCAATGGTCTATTGCAAAGGACTCTGGGTAGTAGGTGTGGTACTGTGTCATATTCCCCTAAATCACATACAGTGTTATAAACCCATGTCACCACAATTAAATTTCAGGAAAAAATAACAAAAATCCTAAATGATGATCAGTAAACTGATTTTGAGGTGTTAAGAAATTTTGTTACCAAGTATGTATTCTGAGTTTTTGTACTCATAATTTCTTTTCCTTTTTTGTGGGACCCTTGCTGGCAGCCGGGCAACGAACCGGCACTGCAGTGGCTGCGGGCACAGCCTCGCAGCCCAGTGCTGTGCCACCAGGGGAGGCCCATAATTTCTTTTCTTTTTTAAATATAGCTAGCTTATAGGTTTTTAATGTTTAAGTATATCCTGAAGCGGCTCTAACCATGTATTAAGAAATAAGCTTCATGGGGGTCTCCCTAGTGGTGCAGTGGTTGAAATCTCAGTGCTGTCAGGCTATCTCACAAGCCACTGAGGCATGATTTCGATGCCTGACCAGGGAGCTAACCCACGTGGTGCGGCAGACCTCTCCTGTCTTGCCTGCTGCTCCCCTCAACTGTGTATTTCAGTATTTCTTCCTGTTCTGCTCTGTCTCTGGTGAGTCCTCTCACACATACAACCCACTCCTGTGGCCTATACCCCAGCTCTGGTATGCATAAATAAATAAAATAAATCTTAAGGAAAAAAAGAAGCTCCATGGCTTCTCAATATAAATTCTAGGCAGATTTTAGCTGTAGACCTTAGGAAATACAAGCTTTATGTTAAAAAAATAATGTTATTTAATTTAATTGACTTTCAGCCTGTATTCCAGCAAAAGTCATTTAAATAATAGCACCTTAATTATTAATCAAATTGAATGCCTAAAACCACATATATGTAGAGAAAGGGCTACTTGCATGAGAGACAATGGTTTCTTCCCTTATAATCAGACCTCCACAATGGGGTACCATAATTTTATTTTAATTTTATGGATTCTTGAAACCTAGTCTCTGTCTTAATTGTAGCAAGATCTTTAACAATGTCCTCCTTATGATACACTTGTCAGGTTGGAATAATGGGGATTAATAGATAATACAAGGTAAGTTTTTACTGGAACAGCCCAGCCTTGTAGTGATTGGCTTATACCCAGAGGAAGTCCTTAAGTGTTCTCTGCTTGGTCTTGTCTGACTTGATATTTTTACCAGCCATTTAGCTGAAAAAAGTAGAAGCTACAGTTAACCAAATTTACAAATGACAGAACTTTGAAGTATAGGTACCCAATGAAGGGGAGAATGCCTTATAGCACAAATAGGATGAAATGTTGATGGCAATTGTACACTTTCTGAACTTGGGTTTAAAATAGGACCAGTTATTCAAGTATAGGATTCTAGAGTAATAATTCATTCAGAAAAGATAATTATATTTAATTATCATTAATGAGATAATGATTGCTAGAAAAGCTAACACACTATAAGGCTGCAGTGGTAATAACCTAGTGTCTAGATTAAGGAAGGGAATTACTCCCACTACCCAAAACACATGTGGAATATTCTTCAGGAGAAAGTAAACTATATCCAAGGGGAGAATGACCAAGATGATCTGGAGCAACAACTTGAGAAACTTGAAAAGAAATGACTAAGAATGATCACTGGCTTCATGGAAACAAGTAGTGAATTTATTTGCAGGTCTAGAGTAGTAGCTTTTAAACCTTTTTTTTAATTAACCACAATAAGAAATATACTTTACAATTATTTATGTACAAATATATAATGGCACTTAGTCACATATTAAATACATATATAGGTATATATACAAGCACACAACATAATATATAGGCATTTGAAGCAGAAGTTATACAAAACAATATTCACCCTTATGTGTGATGTTTGACTTTTTTATTTGTTGTTTACTTAATGTTGGTTACAACATAATTAATTGTTTTTATGGGCCATATATGGGTTATAATCTCATTTTGAAAAACAAAACTGCTCTAGAGACCAATACTATTGAAAATGCTGTCTACACACTAACATTGGTAAATCTGCATCTGATTGCAAATGCAAATTCTGGGGCCCCCTCCTTCACACCTAATGAATTAGAATCTCTGGGGCAAGGACCCAGGAATTAGTGTTTTATTTATTTTTTTTTTAAGATTTATTTATTTGGGCCTCCCCGGTGGCGCAGTGGTTGAGTGCTGGGTTGCGAAGCTGCCCTCGGCCTCTGCAGCGCCAGTTCGATCCCCGGCTGCTCCCAGGCCACCGGAGGAGGGTCCAGCATGGTGCGCAGGAGGGTCTTCTGCCGCCCGCTGCTCCCCTCAGCAGTGTACTTCGGTCCTTCTGCCTGCTCTGCTCCCTGCTCTGGCTCTGGTGAATTCTCTCACCCTCCCGTGCTTCTGACTGTACCCAGTGCTTGTATAAATGAATAAATAAATCTTTAAAAAAAAAAAGATTTATTTATTTATGCATACAAGAACTTGGGTAGAGGCCAGATGTGCGGGTGGTGAGAGGATTCAGCAGAGACAGAGTGGGGAACAGAACAGGCAGATGTACTGAAATACAGTGCTGAGGGAGCAGCAGGCGAGTCAGGAGAGGTCTGCTGCGCCATGTGTGTCACCTCTCTGGCCTGGGATCGAACTATTGCTTCAGTGCCTGAAGATAGCTTCATAGGCTATATCTTACCCCCTTGCACCACCAGGGAGGCCCCCCAGGAATCAGTGTTTTAAGATGTTGTTCAAGTGCTCCTTTTATGTTAAAGTTTGTAAAACAGACCTCTAGAGTTGTGCTACCCCAAAGTGTGTGCTCTGTTGACCAGCTGTCTTCAAATCATTATCCTGATTACAAAAGTAAGCTGTCACTTACACAGAAATCATCCTTACAAAAAGAAATAGGAATTTACTAAACTAGAACAAGCAAGTATGGAAAAGAATGAGTAAGAAATCTTAGAAATGAGAAATGTAATCAGGGAATTAAATAAAATAAACAGTAACTGATATAAACTAGTTTGTATGATGAGAGATTTGCAAGCTGGAAGGGAACTGAAAAAGTAACTTAGTGGAGAACGTAAACAGGTAATAACTGTGAAAGGTGAAATGTCATAGAGAATAGAGTGAGGTGGTCTAATAGCATTTATAGAATTTCCAGGAAGGAAATTGAAAGAGACAACAGTAGAATGTTTTCTACAATGCCAGTAAATATAGAAGCTGGTATTATTATAGTTTTGGTTTGTAACTCCTCTTTTTTCCCCATGTGATTTGAAAGACAAATGAAGAAAAAATTATAAATCTATGTTAATGAACACAATGTATGGTACATGTAATCATAACTAACAATGCAAAGGATCAGAATATGGCTTGACTGTTGAAACTAAGTTATTAATTCAGCCTGGCTTGTTAGAAATTTAAGTGTCAAAAATTATTTGGATTTATGGCTTCCCCCCCACCCTCTGATTTTGTTACTCATTTGAAACATGGTAAAGTTTGTATGATTTCTTTATGATTTCCAGTTCAGAATTTTTCTCCTATTGATCTTGTTTTTTTTTTTTTAAATATTTGAAACATTGGCCTGATTCCAAAAGTTAGAGTTGTACCAAAAAAGGATACACACAAGCATGGGCTTACAGCCACAGAAGTGCCCCACCCATATGTACTTTTTTTTTTACTTCTTTCCCACCCTAGTAAGTAATCTCATTAAACTTCATCTGGTTTAACCTTTCTGATCTTTTTCATGAATAAATTAGTAGATACATGTATATTCTTTTATACAAAGGGTAAGTACTCTCTCCATTATTTGGATGAACCATAGTTTATTTACCCATTCTTCTGTGTGTGGTCATATAGGTTGTTTTTAATATTTTGCTGTTACAAACAATGCTACAGTGAATAACCTGCATATGTATGTATTTTCACACTGTGGGAAGTATATCTTAAGGATGAAAGTCCTAGGAGTAAGATTGCTGTGTAAATAGTCCTAGGAGAAAGATGTAGTTTTCTTAGGTGTCTCCAAATTCCTTTAATAAGGATCATTCCAGTTTTATACTTCCAACAGTAGTGTAGAGTATCACATTTTTACCAGCAGAATATGTTGCTGCATTACTTTTATTTTAACCACAGCCTGAGAGTTATGTCTTTGGCCTTCTTTTTCCCTTCAGTTTTTAAGATTCTTTTTCCCTTCAAGTTTTAAGATTTCAGGTCTTTATATTTTGGAGATATTGGCCATTTGTCTGGAGTATATCTAAACATTTTCTCTTAGCATTGTTAATCATTTTTATTTTATGTTTGGTGTTCTTTGCCATACAAAAGGAAGTTATTTTTCTGTAGTTAATTTTATTAATCTCTTCTTTACTTGCACCTGGATTTTGAATCATTGTTTATATTCAGGTTAAAGAGAATTCTCATTTGTTCTTCCTAGTCCTTTTGTGGTTCCATTTTGACATATATCCCTGGTGCATCTCTCATTTATTCTTATAAATTCTTGCATTTTAAAGTTCTGTCATAAGCCCTAACTGCTTTCTGCCAAGTGTTTTTTCCCCAGTCTTTCCATATAATTTATATTTATCTACTGAATTTTACTTTTATGTTGATTAACTAGTTCTTCATTTTTCCAGGAAAATTTTGAATGACTTATCTTCTGATGCACCAGGAGTGCCAAGGATTGAAGAGGAGAAGTCTGAAGAGGAGACTTCAGCACCTGCCATCACCACTGTAACGGTGCCAACCCCAATTTACCAAACTAGCAGCGGACAGTATAGTAAGTATTAAATATTTCTGTTTTGAAAAGTAAGAAAAAAAATTAGCGGCTGTGTTTTCCTTTAAAAGAGTCATATATTCAGCTCTTTTCTTGGTGCTGATTATATTGCATATTCTTTACTGTTCAAAATACAAAGGTCTAGAGTTAGAAGTACTGTCTTTTCATCGGGGTATTGATTAGGATCACTAGTGAGCCCTTTAGATGGCCCTTTTATTTGTGTACATGCATGGAAAGTCTTAGACGTTTTTTGAGCAGCCTCTTGAAACTCCTGATGTCAGTCCCCAGATATGTTGTTAATAGAGAATAAATTTTTTCAGATAGTCAATCTTCGATTACATTTAAGGCCCAAAATGATCCCATTTGTCTGTGTTAATAAATTTCCTTCCTTTCTAAAAGCATCATTTTAAAATCTTCATATTTAATTTATCATGATAGTAGGGATGGAATAACTTTGTTGCAGACTTAACAGCACTATTCAATTTTTACTCCTTTTAATATAAAAGGTAGTTTAGTAAATTAGGATGATGTAAGCATAAGGACTGCTCAAATTAAGAAGAAAGTTTGCTTTTTGGTATCTCAGCAAAGCTTTCATTTGAAAAATTATGAAGTTTTCATTTCTGTGATGTCCCACTTAGTTCTCTCTTCTTTCCATTTTCCCAAGCCCTTTTTGCCTCCCAAAGTGCTTCACACATTGATTTCATTTTCATTGATTCATTAAATCCGCTACTGCCCATTATACAGTGTTGCCATCTCTCTTTGTTAATTAAAAATTTATTATACACATTGAAACCCCTTTGCTGCATTGTAGTTTTCCAATGCCTTGGAGTAGTTTATATCAGAAATATGTATAAAAGTTACGCTCCTCAATTAATAGTTCTCCAGTTACAGCTCTACCTTGGTTTGCAGAACTCTAATTTGCAATTTCAGCAGCTTTCCAAGCAGCAGATATTTTAACTTCCAAAACTGAACCATTTGACAGTAAGTAGAAACTATTTCTTTTCATTGAGGTAACACTGGTTTACAACATTGTGTATGTTTTAGGGGTGAGGGTTCACACCCACCACCAAAGTATCAATCCTCCACCACAGATCATTGGGCTTCTTCTATCCTTTTCTCCAGACTACAACCTCCCCTTTGCCTCAGTTCTGCAGTTAGATTCCAAGGATTTGGTTTGGTTTGGTTTGGTTTGGTCTGTTCCTTTGCTTTGTTTCTTTATATTACACATGTGAATGAAACCATCTGCTATTTGTTTTTCCTCGGGAAGGCATTTTTGACTAAACTGCTTCTCCCCTCTTTAAGCTTAATAGGATCTTTTTTTACGTCAAGTTTTTTGTTGACAGAAATAAACAGGCACTGAATATATGTGTTGCAGGAGTTTTTTTTAGCTTTATGTTCCCATTAGTTGAGTTAGTAAAGATACATGTTCTAAGACATTAAAACATGACCTTTATTACCTACTTCAATATGCTAGAGGAACTCAGCATACTCCTTAGTAATGGTGATTTCATCATTGCAGTGATAATCACTTGAATTTAAAAACATACTCTTTAGAAATGAGACATATCAGAATCTCAAATAAGGAAAAAAAGCATTGAAAGGTAGGTGTTTAATTTGGCGTGTGGCTATCCTTCAGCAACTGAAAATTGCCAGCTTTAAATGGTTAATACTTGGAGATTTTTAAAGCTTTATTCATTGTCATATCTTCTCTTCCCTCTGTATATACACATATGGTCTTAATGAAATTGATTTAATATTATGTTCTTGATTGTCTTTAAGAATCAATATAATGCCTGCTTACATAGTTTATACATGGTTGTGAAAATTCAAATGGTAGAGTTATATAGTACTACTAATTAAAAATCCTTTTCATCCCTCCTTAGTAGTAGGAGTTTGGTATATATCCTACCATTCTTCTTTATTTTTGCATACATATATTTTTACATACATGTCAAGTATTTTTGTATAAGTGAGATCTATGTTATTTACCTACGGTGGACAGGTATATAAACATACATTTATGTATATTCTTTCTTTAACAACCACATTTTGTTTCACTATGTAAATATAAAATTTATTTAAACATACCCTCCATCCCACACACATGCACACACAGACACTGATGAATATTTAGAACATTTCTGCTGTTTGAAGCAATGCTACATGAACATTCTTAGGTGTGATGTAATGTCTCAGTGGAATAACATCTAAATGGGAACTGTTGAATTGAAAGTATATACTGCCCAATGAAAACGCCCCAACACACTCTCTGATGACTGAGTTCCATAGGATATTTCAAGTCACTTATTGAGTGGACTTTGTCATAGGTTATGCACTGCTAGCTGAGTTAGAGAACAGAATGCAATACTGCACTGCTTTGTTGGTTATACATTGAAACAACCATTTATTGAGTGCCTATTACATTTACACTTCTGTGCTAAGTATGTGAAGATAGAAAAGAAAATCATATTTCCTATTCATTTATTTATTAGTGGTACAGCATGTATTATCTAAAATATTACATAGTTAATATTAGTATAAAGGAATTGTGGAGCATTTGGAAGTATGGTACCTCATTAGAACCAAATAATGTTCTCACTTACCTTTTTTCCTGTTGTTAATAGGCATCATTATAAGTTATTATGTAGTTATTAGAGTGCATTTGTATTTTAAAAATTGAATGTGGGTTTCCAGATCAGTGTTACTTGAGTAAGTGAAATCCTTCTTGGCAGTATTACTTGCTTTAATAATTTCTCCTTTATTTTTTCTTGCAAATTATTCTACATTAAATTTAGCATTTTGTAAAAGTCTTATATGGTATTAAACTTGTAACCATAAAATCCATTGGGTTTTAGTTGCTATTACCCAGGGAGGAGCAATACAACTGGCTAACAATGGTACCGATGGGGTACAAGGCCTGCAAACATTAACCATGACCAATGCAGCCGCCACTCAACCGGGTACTACCATCCTACAATATGCACAGACCACTGATGGACAGCAGATCTTAGTGCCCAGCAACCAAGTTGTTGTTCAAGGTAAGATAATTCACAGTTCACAGGTACAGTATATTTTTTGAAAGGTAAAATTTTATAAGCATTCAAAAAAAAGTAAGTATGATACGACAAAGCACTGTTAAAATGTAGTACTTTTTCATAATTATAGATAATCTTTTCCATGAATTTTTTATTATTCCAATTGGACCAAAATGTCATGGCATAAAAACAACTATTTTCAGTTTTTAAAAACATAACATCCAACTTCAGCAACTTTAGTATTTGGAAATAGAAGAAACAGGGTTGATTAGAGGGAAAGGCAGTGAAATCAGGAGACAGGAAAGCTTAGATTCCAGATCCAGCTGCATAGAATGGCTGTATAACCTAAGTAATAACCTCTTTCGCCCTCAGTTTTTTTCATGTGTCAAATGGGAGTTGTACTAAATCACTGCTAAGAATCTTTGGAGGTTCAGAATTCGGTTTCTCTGCTTTTTATTCAATATAAATTTATATGCTCTATTCTAAGAGTGTCAATTTTTATTTCAAATGAAAACATTGTATTCTGAAAAATCTTACACCAGTATTCAAGTCCGCTGGTCTATAGAGAAAGTGTAATAGTTAAATCCTTGATGATTCTAGAAATCACTTTTTTCTATTTAAGTTTTTAACTTTTTGTATCCTATTTGTTTCAGGCATCTTTATGAATAGGAGTGGACCCTTTTTCTCTAAATTCATTTGAGTAATTTTAGAATACGATTTATGCATAATATGATTATGCATAATAATCTTTTTCTAAAAATATTTTTATTATAATATTTTGCCTCTAGAGGTAATGACAGTTGTGCCTCTTCACCATGAACAGAAATTTTTGAGTAATCATAAAACACCAACTAGAGAGAGTCTTAATTTAAAGGACCCTAATGTACTTACAAAATATATTCTATTACTAAACAAATAATACTTGAAGAAGATAATAATTGCTTATTAATGGGAGTAAAACACCTTTTCACTTTACATGCAGGTACTCAAAAATTGTAAAGCAGGATGTCAGTGAATTTGAATTCTGAACGTCAGTTTGAAGATGGTAACATGTTCAGTATATAACTCTTTTCCATTCAAACTACGCATTTTAATAATAATATAGCAAATACGGATAATTTTATAAGGACCTTCAAATTCAGATATTTTTAGTTTCCTTATTCTTAGGAGGGCATATTAATTTGTATTTAGAAGCAGTCTGACAAATAGTGATTGTGTTTCTTTTCACAAATGATGAATCATTTAGTTAGAAAGATAAAACTTTATTTAACCATTATAATTTATATTAAAACATTTTGTGTTTACAATAGTATAATTGGCATCAAGTGGTACATTTTTCATACTTAGAGTTTTGTTTCGATTAGAAATTTACAATAGTTGACCATAATGCTTTATTTTCTCTTCCATTTTGCTATTTTATGAAAAATCATGGTCGTTTTTATGTCGTGGCAAGAGTCTACTTGAAATTTTTTAATATGAATTTACCAATATCAAAGGAAGACATTGAGGACTATACTCTATCTAGGAAGATCATCCAAGCTGTGCCCTACTTACCTTTTAGACTTAAGGTTGGTAAGCATGTTAAACAACAGAATAGAACTGCATTCCAATGAAAGATAAATATAAGACCCAGCAGACATAGGTTAAGACCTCTTTCACCCAAGTGTCTATAATAATAAATACATTAAATTGGGAATTATTTCTCAATAATGACTAAAAGAGTGCTGATTCTTTCAACATTTTCATCAGAATCATCTTTTCCTTTGTTTTCCCCCTTTTAATGGAAAATGTATGTTTAGATTGGTGTTGCTACAGATAGGTAAACAACTCACAGTGCTTCATTGTCTTACACCATGCTGACTATTTTTTATTTTCAGCTGCCTCTGGAGATGTACAAACATATCAGATTCGCACAGCACCCACTAGCACCATTGCCCCTGGAGTTGTTATGGCATCCTCCCCAGCACTTCCTACACAGCCTGCTGAAGAAGCAGCACGAAAGAGAGAAGTTCGCCTCATGAAGAACAGGTACTGCATATATTGGATTTACTTAGATTGTTATAAGTCAAGTACCTCTTGAAGTTCTACCAGGCATGTCCTTTACATATGCTGACAAAATGATATTTGTGTTGAATTTCTTTCTGGTAGCATTGATGGATCTTGCTAAAACTTTCTTTAATAAGTTGGACTTAAGAGATGGCTAGTGTGGCTATGGGTCAATCTTTGATCACAGAATAGTTTTCTTTCATAAAATTTCCCCATAATGAATTTAATGTACAACTGTAATATTTTCCATTTGTGCTAACCAAATAGCTAGGTTATTATTGTTTCTTATCTTTTGGGCAAAGTGTCATTAAAAACATTAAAATTTTATTTAGTCCTATTTGATTTTGTGTTTTTTTAAATTTCACTTAGGATTTAAATATTTAACTTAGGATTTAAATATGGAAATAGATAAACAGAAGAAAATGAAGATAAACGTATATATAAACATAAAAAAAAATTTTAAATGGTGAAAATATTCTGCTGTTCAACCCAGTTTCTTCAAGCACTGTGAAAGAAACGGAGATTGAGCTCAGAAGATCTGAATTCAAATCCTGAATCTAGCCCTTTTACTGTGACTTTGAAAGACTGTTTTAACCTTCTAAACCTCAGTTTCCTTCTCTGTAAAACCGGATTCCATCACCCACCCAAAGGGTCAAATAAGTTCTCCAAAAGCACTCTGTCTGTAACTGTAGTGCTCTGTTGAAATGTATTTTTATGCAGCTTCATGTTTCGGCTCATAGTCTTAGATGTTTTGGTGTTAATGAATATATCTGAGCTCTAAAAAAATAGCAAAACTTTTCCTGGGGTCTTAGGAAATGAGTTTGAAATACACCCAATGACTTTTTAACTTCCTGTTCTATCAGTTTGATTTTCTTTAAGTATTTAAGATAAAATAAAAGCATAAAAGCTGTGTTTGTATTTAAATGTATTATAAAATACAGATTAAACTGTGTACAGTTTTGAAATGTTTGTAAGGAAATGTTTAACTCTTTAAAATTAGAAGCAGGGCCTCCCCGGTGGTGCAGCGGTTGAGCGCTGGGTTGCGAAGCTGCCCACAGCCTCTGCAGCGCTGGTTCTATCCCCGGCTGCTCCCTGGCCACTGGAGGAGGGTCCCACATGGCGCACAGACCTCTCCTGCCACCCTCTCTGCTCCCTGCTCTGGCTCTGGTGAATTCTCTCACCCTCCCGCGCTTCTGACTGTACCCAGTGCTTGTATAAATAAATAAATAAATAAATAAATCTTTAAAAAATAAAATAAAATTAGAAGCAAATCTGATTAAGATGTCTCAAAGGCCAACTTGTAAAATTTAAGACACTATAGCATTTAATAAAGAAACCAGTTCTAAATAAAGAACAATTCGAGAGAAAATAAATCCTCTTGATTATAAAAACAACAGAAGAATTTCAGGTCATGTCTGTGTAGTTTGGCTCAGCAGAACAGAAATGTTTACCCTTTCCCCCCCCCCCCCCTTTTAAAGATTTATTTATTTATTTATTTATTTATTTATTTATTTATTTATTTGTACAAGCACTGAGTACAGTCAGAAGCGCAGGAGGGTGAGAGAATTCACCATAGCCAGAGCAGGGAGCAGAACAGGCAGACCGATAAAATACACTGCTGAAGGGAGCAGTGGGCGCAGCTGGAGAGGTATGTGCGCCATGTGGGACCCTCACCGGTGGCTGTGGCCGGGGATGGATCTGGCGCTACAGAAAGACTAACAGCCAGTGTGATTGCAGCAGTGAGGCGGCAGCCCTGTACTCTGCTCTGCCTTATGAGGCCAGCCCAGAGAGCTGCCCATTTGTGAAAACTCCTTCAATTAATAGATTGAGTTTCCTTTTTTCTCTATTAACCTTGATTATCTCCCCATTCTTTCTCCTCTCATACAGACATACAACCAAGTTAGTGTAGGGCACACATACTTAGCAAAATCTTTGTTTGCCTAAGATCCCTAGGGAAGCTACCTAACTTACTGTGAACTCTTTAATAAAATACCTTCCCTGTATTTAGTTTCATCCTTGGGAAACTTCCCACCGATTCTGCCATAATTCCCTTTCTCTTTATTAGATTTTGCTGCTTCTACTTTTTCATTTTCCATTCACTAGAATCTGGCTTCTGTGACCAACCATACTACTATTATATCTTTTAAAAGGTATAGATAGATTTACTCCCACTTGGCAAGTCTAGTATTCTCTTTACAGTTCATTTTACCTTTTTAGAGTATTTGACACTTTAACTGTTAATTTCCCTAAGCTCTCTTTGACTTTATTCACCTGGTTTTCTGCTTATTTTTCAAAATACCCCTTGGAATTTTCATCCATACCTGTGTATTTCAGGCATCACCTATATGCCTAAAGGTCACTGCAGGGGAAGGTGCAGCACTGATGACTATGTATTCTAGCTTTGACCTTTCTCCTGAGATATTATTAAGAACCTAGTATGTACTAGACACTATACCTAGTTAGTTCTGTCTACAAGGGTCGGTAGGAACTTAAAGTATACAGAGGAGGTGTGGTTCAGAGAGAAGTTAACTATCTTGGCAAATGTCATGCCTTTTAAAGAAATTAGTAGAGCTGAGGGCCTCCCCGGTGGCGCAGCTGTTGAGCGCTGGGTTGCGAAGCTGCCGGCAGCCTCTGCAGCGCCGGTTTGATCCCCAGCTGCTCCCCGGCCACCAGAGGAGGGTCCCACATGGCGCGCAGACCTCTCCTGCCGCCTGCTGCTCCCCTCAGCAGTGTGCTTCAGTCCTTCTGCCTGCTCTGCTCCCTACTCTGGCTCTGGTGAATTCTCTCACCTTCCCGCGCTTCTGCAGTGCTAGAATAAATAAATCTTTTAAAAAAAAAAAAAAAAAAAGATTTATCTTTAAAAAAAAAAAAAAAGAAGACGAAATTAGTAGAGCTGAGATTTGCTCCGCAGTGTGGCTTCAAAGCCTGTGTGTATGTTACTTACCAGATTCAGGTGTAACTATTGTTATATCTACCCAGCCTCTGGAACTGAACACATAGTCATGTTCTAGAGATATGTAGCACCAAGAAGTAAATATGGAATGCCTTCATGAATGTTTACTTTACTCAGAAACTTGAGCAAAATAAACAATTTTAAGACAAAACAAGAGATATAAAAGAATTTCATACCAGCAGTGGCTGTTCTGGGCTTTGCTCCTAGAACCCCCATATAAATTAAATTTTTTGTGAGAAAAGTCATAATCCCAAAATTCTATGCCATCCAAATGGCCATTTATTCAAAACTGAAGATAGTGGTAAATGTTCAAAAAGAAAATATAGATAGTTGTTGTATAAATATGTATTGCTGCATTAACAAAGAACTATATAATTTGTAGTTCAGTAGTAAAACTACAGAAATTTCATTATCACTTACATTACATTTTAGCAGCTACTAGTCAGCTGCTGTAGCTCTCCGTCACATGTTAGCAGCCAAAGAAGGAGCACTGCTTGAGACATGTCATTTTTGTAGCAAAGGTGAAAGGGTAATGCTTTGCAAAGCACCTGCTTGAATGTGATAACCATCATGTCCACTCATGTACCGTTGGCCAAAACGTAGACAAGGATAATCCTAAAGTCAGTGGAGTAGGAAAATTAAGAGACCAATATAACCCACCACCATCCTTGTCTTATAGTTTAGAGTGCATGAAGATTTTAATAATTTCCTGAAGGCAGAAGTAATAAAGGTTAAATGGGTATGACGAAGTAAGTCTCCATAAACCTTTTTTTTTTTTTTCCAAAAACCTCTTTTTAGATAGCAAAGCAGACAACAAGCTAGAAACATTTTAATGAAGAAAACTGAGTTAAGGATATGAATAAGCACATTCATTAAAAAATGGCTTAGAAGTGGGGTAAAAAAAAAATTGAAAAATTCCAAGCAAAGTATATACATTATAAATTAATGTACAGCCATTCGTTGATATATAATCAGCCATTAAGAATGAAGTTTTTTTTTTTTTTTAAGATCTATTTTTTTATTATTATTTTTTTTATTTATTTATACAAGCTCTGGGTACAGTCAGAAGCGTGGGAGGGTGAGAGAATTCACCAGAGCCAGAGCGGGGAGCAGAGCAGGCAGAAGGACCGAAGTACACTGCTGAGGGGAGCAGCGGGCCGCAGGAGAGGTCTGTGCGCCATGCGGGACCCTCCTCTGGTGGCCGGGGAGCAGCCGGGGATTGAACCGGCGCTGCAGAGGCTGCGGGCAGCTTCGCAACCCAGCGCTCAACCGCTGCGCCACCGGGGAGGCCCAAGAATGAAGATGTTTTTGACATGAGATGTTCATAGTGGGAAAAATCAGGTCACCAAAGAGTATATTTATTAAGATTCCACTTTTATTTACTTTTATTACATAAGTAAAACATGTTCATTATAAGCACATTGGAAAATATAAGCCAGAAATTTAATCACTAATTGTGCCACCTAAAATGTTAAACTCCAGGGTATAATTTTTCACCTTAATATGTGTGAAGATAAATAATATATTTTTAATATATAGTTAACTTTTTATTTTCAATAATTTTAGAGCACAGAAGAGTTGTAAAAACAGTAGAGAGCGCCAGATACTCTGTATCCAACTCCTAATTTTAACATGTTATATAACCAGGCAACATTTATGAAAACTAAGAAGTTAATATGCTATCATATACTGTATATAATAATTAGCATAGTATTGTATACTATGGTAGAGCACTAACTGAACTACCCATTTTATTCCGATTTCCTCAGTTAATCCACTTGTATTTCTTTTTTTCTTTTTTTTTTTTAAGATTTATTTATTTATTTATATGTACAAGCACTGGGTACAGTCAGAAGTGCGGGAGGGTGAGAGAATTCACCAGAGCAGGGAGCAGAGCAGGCAGAGTGATGAAATACACTGCTGAGGGGAGCAGCGGTTGGCAGGAGAGGTCTGTCGCGTCATGTGGGACCCTCACCAGTGGTCAGGGATCGAACCAGTGCTGCAGAGGCTGCGGGCAGCTTTGCAGCCC